CCCCCCTTCCCCCTCCACGCCCCACCACACCACCTCGGCGGCGCCCTCCCACCGCTCTGCCGCCTCCTCCCTTCACTTGCATGACTCCCGCGGTTTATTTTCGCTCAGCGCCGCCACCGTCCCTCTTGTTCTTGCCCTGTCCAACCAATCGAGTCTTAAAATGTTTAAAAACATATTCAATAAATATCAATGTAGGGCCAGGCGTGTTGTAAAAAATCGTTGCTTTCGTACGAGTTCTCAGCATATTATTTTCTCCTGAAGCTTTTGAAGAAACTCTGGAGAATATAATGCATTTATTTATTTTTTTACTTTAAAATATGCTAACATGCGTCTTATTAAACTTTATTTGGCCGCACAGATGTTCTAGGTCGGTATGTAAGTAGAAGGTAACACTACAACACTTCCTCCGTTATGGGCTGGGCAGCGGCAAAGTCTCTTGTCGAACACCGTCCGTCAGCAGCAAAAGGCGACTTGTGCCGAGGCATAGCAGAGAGAGCGAGAGAGACGGAGCATTATCATATGGATTCGGCAGGAGCATGGTGCCAGCCAGAGCCCGTGGAGTGGTGGGGCGTAACGGGGCAGGGGCACAGCGGGGCGCGGCGGCGGGGCGTGGCGGTGCGTGGCGGCGCTGGTCCCCATCGACCAATGAACTGCCACAGCCTGGCGCGCTGGGTCGCGCTGGGCCGCTCCCAACTGGTCCCGAAGGGAGGGAAGGCTCGCGGGGCGCGGTGGGCCGTGGCGGGGCGTGGCGGGGTGCGGTGGGGCCCCAGGGCGAAGGGAGGGAGAGGATTAAATGGGTACAGTTACGGCTACCCCACTGCGAGCCACCCGGAGCCACCCCACTCCGCCCCTCTAGCGGCCACGCCACGCCACCCTACGCGGCGCCCGCGCGCCCCCATAGTTGTGGGGCGAACACTCCGCAAGGCCTTGAAAATGATTTCGACCGCTTTGGACTTCGATTGCAAAAGCTATCCAATCTCAATCTCGTTCAGTTTGGCAGTGTGGCTGAAAGATCCTTTTCTTTAAAAAAAACAACGAACCACTATAGTGACTTTCTGACCACGTGCCCCAGAATGAGAACTTCTTTTCCATCCCCAATCGCACAGTAGTGCCTTTCCCATATGAGCGCCAAGTAAAAGTCAATCACTGCGCGGTCGCTAGCGGGAGCTGAGGTCAGCTAGTGTTCCTTGGCGTGCGGTGCGGAGGTCAGGGGTAAGCGCTGATTGCGAGACAAGCGTCGGCCATTGGCAGCTGCGCTAGCGCCATCTGTTGGACTTGCAAATCACCTGTCGGCTGAATGTGCGGCCGTCCATCACCTCCGCTCACCTTAGCCGATCGGCTTACCCCATGCGCATGTCATGCTGTGTGTGACATTCCGAAATGCATCTCATGTGTGAGACTGGTATAGTCGTGTGCTTGTGTCATATACATGGCTGGGAAGGAATCGAAATTATACTAACTTCACGGCTTCTTCACGGCAGCAGTAGAGTTCTCAGGCGTTTCACTGACATATACATTTTGGAACTCAAGGTCGGTTACTAAAGAACTGATAAGTACTTCGCAGTCATGCAATTTTGAAGTGAATCCCGCCATCTTCGTATGAGTTCAAACACATGGAGTGCTGAAAAAGTGTCACATAGAAAGTCTACTTGAGTTTCTGTAATCGCTTGCTGCGTGACATGTGCATCCTCGGCGCAAGGTCAAGCAGCCCCGCTCGTATCACTTCCTCGAGTCAAGTATTGAGAGTCAGAGGTACCCTCCTTTGAGGCGGCTCTATGCCGGCCGCGTTAGATATAGACTCCCTTAATCTGTAAAGACCGTCGGTCAGCCGTGATTGTGTATCGGCGGGCAGAGGACTTCAAAGGCGCCGGCGGCGGCCCCGCCCTCACTATCTGTGTTGACACTCCTCTATTTGCCTCGACCAGGCTCCTCTCTCCCACCCTATGCCTCTGTCTCTTCATCCCCGCGCACCTCCGTACAACGGCACTATTCCACCTTTCGGGATACAATGGTGTGTCGCGAAATCTGTGGCATATGTTCAATGTCGTTTAATCGAAACCGGTGAATGGGGCCAATGCGGGCCAATGTTCGCAAGTTTACTACCAGTCTGCAAAAATTATTCCACTACTCTTGTCCCTGGAAATTTAGAAGTGAATCTGGTTCGAATCTGTTTGTTCATCGAAAGTGTGTGGTTGGTCCTACTCACTCAATGCGTGTTATTCAACCATTGATCTTCAGGAATACTCAATACTGCATTTTCATCGTGAAAGGAATGGAGACGCCTGGCTGCTCTTCCTGCGGTCTGAGTGTGAGGGCGGAGGGGGCCAACCTATATCTTATCACCCGCCACCCGTGCCGGGCCGCCAAGCCGCGCGCTGCACGGGCATTGGTAGGCCATGAATGAGCGCGGGGTTCCCCACAATCCCCAACTGATATACAACTTTGACCGCAAGAGTGCGCAAAAATATCTGACCAAAGTGTTGCCAGAATTCTCATGGCAAAGATATTATTGCATTATCAAGAAACAATGAAAGTGCACACATTGTTGTTTGTTAGTTGAAGGCGACTGCCCTCACCTGATCAGTTGTGAGATGTTTTCCCTCTCCTTTCGACACTTGATATCAAACTTGTCCGGCCACTATTAACGGTGCACGGTAAGACGGCGGCGGCGTAGGGTGGGGAGCAGCGGTGCCCGCGCCTCCGTCTCCGAGGCGCAGCAGTGCGCCACCTCCGCCACCTCAAAGCCCGGCACGCCACTGTGTAATCCCCTGGTGTTGGCTGAGGTCGGCTCGTGCACACGTTTTATTGGTGGGGAGCATAAAGATGTTGCAGTGTAAGCCGAGAGGAAAAGTGTCGAGTGACAGGCTGAGGCAAAACGCCCCCTTGTTTTGCTCCTTTTGCATGGGCTTCATTGGCACCTGTTTTTTAATATTTTATACTTGAATTTTAATTACAAAATTCTCGTTAGGGAAACGAGAGTTTTGCTCGTTGTCATTTCTTTTGCCATAACCGTATTGATTCAGTGGCGCGGGTAGTTGAGAGTGTCCTGCCAAAAGAAAAAGGGTGTTAAAATATTTATGGCTTGGACTGAGCCCTATAAGCGCTGCAGCCGCGTTGCAGAGTTGGCTTGTTGACAGCGTCATGCCAAGCAAAGTATGAGCTCGTGACGTAAGTCTCATTGCAGGCCACCTTGCGCGTCGGGCCCGGGTGTGTGAGAGTAGCTCAGCTCCATCGGTCACGTGATCGGCTTCCGACTGACATCACTAGTACTAGTACTGTGCTCTGTTTAGTAGTTGAATGTGTATAGCACATTGTTTGATAAAACAATAATAAAAGTCGATTTCGTGGATGTAAAAGTGTCATACGATCCTGGTCGTACAGCCTGATGCTGATGTTCTTCATTCTTTTCCAGACAACAAGAGGCGCATTTCCCTATGCGTCGGTTGCGGGGCGGGCATCCACGACCAGTACATCCTGAGAGTAGCGCCCGACCTGGAGTGGCACGCGGCGTGCTTGCGCTGCTCCGAGTGCCAGGCTTTCCTCGACGAGAGCTGCACGTGCTTCGTGCGGGACGGCAAGACCTATTGCAAGAGAGATTATGTGAGGTAAGTCCTAAAGGCATGGTCAAAGCTTCTTTATTTCTTTAACGTCACGGAGAAATTTTCCTTAAACATGAATGGTTTACCACGATGTGAAAAATTCTCCTTTCATAAGTTAACAAATAATGTACAATAAACGTATAATATATAGATCAAAAAAGAAAACAATTAAAAAATGTACCATTGTACTACCGGGTCACTTATCAAAAAGCTCAGAAGTGCGTGTTGCCTTCGTTAATTTTTATTATAGACCATCCGAAATGCACGTTAATTAGATTTTCATTCCTATTTCCGATTATTCATTCCACTGCTCCACAGACGCTCGGTCGAGTCTATATCCTGACGAACGCGAGCACGCGGGATTTAACAATGACCGTGGGGTAATTAAATTTCGCTTGTAGAGTAGTAGTTGATGGGGTAGTAGTTGTAGGTAGGTAGGCGCCGCTCAAACCGGTTGCCCGGGTATATGCCTCTATCTCGTTCGCCTGTTCAGCTTGCCAGCGACATGAGCTCGTTGATGTTCGCCAGCATGGCGTCTCCTGCTTTTCTTTTATCGTGAGTTGTCGAAACCGCGACGAGACGACGAGGGGGGGGGGGGGGGGGGGGGGGGGGGGGCAGGAGGTTACTGGCCTTTCAGCCGGACATTATCCCTCTATCTCTCTCTCACTCTTTCTGAACGCGCGCGAAAAGAGGCAGTCGTCTATCTCCGTCCCACTCATTGCAGCAGCCATTTGCAAATCTAATTCATCCCAACCGACTACACTTCCGTTTTGTCTCTCTCCTGCTAAATAGCGCTATCGTGCGAATTGCCCATTGTGCTCTCTGCCCACTGGTCTTGAACTTCGCATTCCCGGACGAACGAATGCCATCCCTTCACCCCGAAAAGCGCGTAGTTGATTTTTCTTGTTTTTGATGTGATGCGCTTGTTTTGAGAGTATTGGGATGGTAACAAGTCAAATTTGTCTTAGGACTAGCCCATTGTCCTTGAATTAATAAAGTACACGGAAAATCATGATGTGAAGTAATGTACGAACAGCAGGAACACACACCCTTTTGGGGGGTGTTCTAAAGCTCTGCGAATTATCGGTTCATAACAACTTATGATTTGAACGTCTCGACTAACGCTGCGTTACCGTGTTTGGCCGCATGAAGCCCAACGCAAACACCCTAACTCCAGCAAACAACACCCCATTCCACCCCTCCCCAGGAGGGTTCCGCCTTTCCTCGTATACACCAACCCTGAATGGGGGCCCACAGCGGCATTCTGTAGTCCCCACCCCCACGTTCACCCCCACGCCCTTCCCCAAACATTTGGAGCATTGTTTTCTTACGTTTCGGTTTAAATGGACCAAAGTCGAATGATTTGAAATTGTCTTCAACATATTCTTACAAACTACATTGGCTGGTGGCTGATTGACCCCCC